TCCAGTGTTAAGAATGCACTTCATGAGCAATGGAGGAATATAAGTGTCTCGGAAGACAGCTTTCTTAACCTCACCTCTACTCAGGAAGTTATGAACAGCAGTTTTTGACCTTCCAGTGGCAGGACTGGGAAAGTTTCTGTCAGAGAATAAAGAACAGTATTGCAAAAAGCATCTGGTATAGGAGTGCCATTGGGATTCATTTGGACTAGTAGAAATCACAACAGAAGTGACGAAATTATTGAGCAAGATGAAAGGAAGAAAAAGTCCTGTGAATTTTCTGGTCAGTTTAGAGTTAAAGAAAGAAACTGGTCAAAAGTCATAGCCAACAAAAAGAAGAAAATGCTGTAATTTCATGCAAATTTAATAAGCATATGCTCCAGACTACTTCATACCAGATCTTGAATTATGTAAACTGTGCATCATTGAAGGTACAGTTCTGCCTTTGGCTACACAGCCCCATTCCCAAAGGCGTATATACAGGAATGGAAAACGAAGGAAACTTTATTGTCTAGGGAGGGCTAGAAGCCAAGTAATGAGATGTCCATTACAAGAAAGGGGGGGGGGGAAGAAAAAGTCTGGCACCCTTCTAAGAACGAAGCCAGCTATCACAAATCGACCTCATCTCGTAGCATTCTGTACAATACTGCACACAACAATCATTTCACACGGGGTAACTGGTGCTTTTTAAAATAGTGCAGAGAACTCCAGCCAAGAGGATGCAGAAAAACATGCTCTCTCAAAGCAGTCCACAAGAAAAGGAACAGCCTGCTGTGCAGAGGAGCAGTAGAAAGCCAAGTAACACTTTCATCCTCTCCACTAACCCCTCTGCTCCAGCTCTGCAGAATGTTACAGCAAAGAATCCAAGTCCCAGGCTCTGCTGATAAATGGATGTAAACGGGGACTTCAGGAACAGTAACTTCTGCTCATAAAAATCCTCACTAGCTTCTGCATCTCCATAAACCATCTCACTGCAGCAGGACTCAGAACTCACAGTCTATTATCCCTATTTTCAAACAAAGTCTGTTGACTTTTAAACTAAGGAAAGTTCCTGCCTTTTGAATGGCATAACATGCAATGCTGCCAAGAAAACTAAATTTGCATCCAAACAACAGGGAAAATATTTGCTACTTATGCCAGCACAAGCCAACGAGTGCTCTCACTGGTCACTTACTGCAACATTGCACCTAACACAGGCGTTATTCTGCAAAGGGTAATAAATCAAGATCAGAAGCAGAGAAATACCATTTCAATGGGATCAATTTCTTATCTAAATATTTTAAATACAGACCATGTGAAAAATCTCCAATAGGAATTCAAAGTATTTTATTTTGGGCAATTAAAGTGATATAACGTGCTGTCTCAACTAAAGGCTCTCCTTTTTCATGGTGTTCTCCTGACACTGCCTGCCAAACTCTTTAATCCAGGTCTTGTAACCCGCAAGCCCCAGTTTTGCTCAGCTCCACCAGCCGTTCCCTAATCCATCAGGCTGCAGATTCCCCCAAACGCCAGGAGAGCAGTCACGGGGAAGGTTCCCCCCCTGCAATCAGGCTGGGCATTATGGGGTCCTGTGCTCTTAACTTTCACTACCTTTTTCTCCTTTCATTCTCAGCTGCTTAAGCAACCCCTTTTATCCCCTGTAATTGAGCCTGCTTTCCAGATTACCCTCAGATTTAACCCCTTCCATGCCCAGTGAAACTCAAAACCCATGACCCAAGGTAATACTAGAGAAGAGCTGTCTTTTTTTTCTTTCCACTTTTTCACTAAATTATCTTTGCACTGAATTGGAAGAACTCAGAAAATTCTTTATAAAGACAGATAAAGCCTACAGCTTTGTCATCTCCTATTCTCTTCCTCCAGTAAAATTTTTATTTGAGAATTGCAATGCAATGACTGAATATTGTTTAACTGCAGTATTTTGCAGATGAAACAACAGCTGAAGTGTTTTTTACTCCCGCAGCACACAAATTTATGTAGCTACATAACAATAAAGCAAAGTCTTAAATTTAATCAGAAGAAATACTTGAAGCAATGGCAAGCTGATAAATTATTTAGAAAGGGGCTCAATAAGACCTGGAAGGAAATATACATCAGCTGTTCAGCCTGGGAGCTTCCAGAAACAAAGAATTTTCATGCTTATCCCTGTTAAGGCTTTTTCACCTAAGCTATTTGTATTTAACAAAAACAGGCATGTATTTGAAAAACATCCTACAAATTATAAGGAGACAAGGACTGCACTAGTAGTGATGTCACAGGACTTTATTACTGACATGATCCATTTACCAGCAGTTAGCACCATTTGTGCATTCACAGTAAGGTACTGACGACAGGCACTTCCTAGTGTAAGGACTGACACTGACAGCGCAGTAATATTGGCTATTTCAGAAGATTTTAAGTCTTTTTTTCAGACTGCCTAGTTTTCCCCAAATTGTCTTCCTTCCATCAATTCTTCAACCATTCCAAAACACTGAGAAATAGACAAAACTAGATGTATTAGTATTTATATGAAAGGTCCAGGAAATTCAATAATGTTCCTATTGTTTTATTGCAGATGGCACATCAACTTCTCTTTATTACTGCAGAAAACTCAAGAGCCCTGTAGAGTGCAATAAACCGGTACGTGTTCAGCTTTGCAATGTTTCAAAGGGCTGTGATTTACTGTTAAGGAGCAGGCACCTTGCACACAAACATCTGAGCTCAGTAATTGCCTCATGTTTTGTGCAAACTCTACAAGGCAGTGCGAGGTCGGCCCACACAGGGTACCTGCTGCTTCTAGCTGCCTGGCCCTCACTCCTCAGTAATATGGACTCTGTTATTAAAGAGCGGAGAAAAAGGTTTGTTTTCACCTTTGCATCAAAATGTTTTAGTCTCCTATTTTATTTCAGACACTATCCGAATTTTCTGCCAAATTCTTGGGCTGCTAGAGAGATTAAAAAAATTGTCAACATACCAAGGGTAAAAACACAAAAGTAAATTCTCTTGTCTTAAATATATATACCACATATGCTTCAAGACAAGTCCTTCCTATATAAATATACTTACAAAACACTTCAGAAAAAAGCATACCCACAGACAATTATCCACAGATTTAGTAATGTAAACATTTCACCACTTAAAACAGTAACTCTCCTTCAGGTAATACGTTCAGCTTTTACTGAATGATAAGCTCAGTTCTAGTCAGTCAACCCTGAATAAGAGAGCAGGGAAGTATCACACAAAGGCAAGAGGTAAAGAACCAGTACGAACTGTATTTACATTCAAATTGCTCTGAATAGAATATTATTTCTATCAAGTTTGAATTAGAAAGTAGAGGAGGGACTCGGAATGCATACAACAAACTACTTCACCGGCAGCCTTTAACAACACACATGCCAACAACCCTTTTTTCGGTGAAAAATATTCTCAGCAGTGTCTGGCAAAAGAAAAGTTCGTATTTACTACTGAAAAAATAATCCCAAGGCCACTTGTCCTTTTTCTGAAGGTATTAGTCCTTCATGAAGGAATGGAAGACTTGGGGGGAAAAAAAGAACAAAACCCCCCAAGTTTTCTCTCTCCCTGTTGGAACAGGGACCTTCAGAGCTTCTACATTCCAGACCCGAACAAAACATCAGCAGTGGCAATCTATATTGATTTTATAAATTATAAAGAAACAAGTAAATGAATGTAACCCATCACAGTTTAAATAGAAGGACTGATTAAAAATACCTAAGGGCACTGCTAACACAAAGGCCTTCTCAACCAGTCATTCTACACAGAGGACAGGAAAGTACCAGTAACTTTTCCAATTGCAGACCATACTCTTAAACTACATACTAACAGACATTACAGAGACATTTGGTAGACTATTTATACATTAAATAAGGTAGCGAGCAATGTTAGAAAATATAGTTCTGGTGCTGACAAAACCACACATAATTATTATTACCGAAGAAAATCTAAAAGGAAGAGAAGAAACAATGTCTCCTTAAAACATGAAGACTAGGTTAGTATGCGTGCCACATCATAAGGAAAAAAAAATTAAAGCAAATCTACAGGTAGGTTCATTCAGTGAAGTAACTATTTCTGTTTGAGTTACACGTTACATGCTATAATGATAAATTTATGATTTAGTAGTCAATAGTCCAGGTACTTTGAAGAGGAATATTTTGACCCAAACTGCCTAGAGCATACAGATAAGGACGTGAACATACTGGGGAATATTAACAATGAAAATGATTCTATAGTTCGGTTTTTGTACCTATTTGGAAAACGCTGCAGACTTCAAATTTCATTCTTTACAACTTTCTGTAGCTTATTTACTGAGACACATGAAACTATGGACATTGAAATATCCAGAAGGAAAACACTTCCCCATTGTGAAAGAGTGAAATGTTACAAAACAGGAAATAAATAGGCAGTTGCTTGCATGTTTCTTTAACTCCTGCTTTGTGTTACTACTATCCAAAACATTCATTTTCAAAAAGGTATACACACATTATAATTTAGTTAGAATTAGCAGTTACCAAAGTTACCAATTATGTTTTACAACAAAACCAAAAGCCTCCCTCAGCTACTAACTGTACAACATTCATTTGTTCCAAAGGATAAAAACAGTACTGATGAGTGCTGGGACACATAGTTTTGAACCAGCTGAGGCCAAACACATTTTTACAACAGAAGAAACCATAAACTCAGAGTGAAAAACTTCAGAACATCTCAAAAATACAATAAAGTCAGAGGAACCTAAATTTAAAAAAAATCACTGTAGGACTTAGTACTTTAAACAAATACCCGAGACGTGATCAAAGAAAGTGCTAGCCAAGAGGGGCATCAGCTAGAAAGATACGAAATTTGACAGCTTGCAAGAATTTATTCACACTGATGGATGAAGGAAGCAACAAATGCTGCAAGACCACGTAACACGCCACATAACAGACACATATCTTAGTTTTCAGTCTACATTGAATGTTATCGAAGGAGTATCGTATCTATAGCTGCAGAGGGGAAGCCCAAGGAATACTTACTCTTGGCTGCCAGTTTTCATACTGCTTCTGTAAATTTGCACCGATAGTTTCCAGAGCTTTTTGAGGACCCATTGACAGAGGATCTAGGAAATATAATACAAATGAGTATTTTTGACCACAACTGAACCACTGAGCTTGAGAAGAAGCAGAAATTATTTCCAATTCGATGTGCATTTAAACCTTTAGCTATTCCACATTATGCTTCTGTAAAATCCAGACCTACAACCTAGGAGACCAAAGTCTACATCAAAGCATGAATACCACCCCCCTTTGCAGAAGAATGAAGCCAAAAGCTTTCTGCGCTTTCGCTCTCCAGTGTTCTGCTTGCAAGAAAGCTCATTTAATGATGTTTTAATGCAGGTACCTTTCATGCATTCAATTTCAAATTCATAAACATTACATTCTCCGTGGAATTTACTTGGGTGCAATACCCAAAAATTATCCCCAAATTCTTCACTCAAGTACAAATTAAAAACCATTAAAGACTGTCAAATTTGGAAAAAGATTTCTCTTGTTAAGGTAATAAATGCAATTTTGTTTTGAAAAACAGGAGAGGCATAACATTTGTTTCTCTTAATAAATATTGGAAAAAAGGTTTCTATAGTAATTAATGACAAAAATTTAAATTGGTTAAATATTTTATTATAAACATTTTTTCTTGATGAATGCAAAATCCTGCTTCATTTACTTCCATTGCTTACTGCTTCAGAGATTATATGCCATTTGTAATTTTTAAGAAGTTAATTTTATCACTAGATAATTACCACCATCCATACATACTGATACAATTTCAGCTTATGTGCTTTATTCAAAAAAACATGGCCATATAATTGACACTATTAACAAGTTTCAAAAAAAACTAGAAGCTAGTATTTTGCAATTTAATATAAATTATTTTTAATCAATGAAGTTATTTTTTAAAAATTTTTACAAATACTCTACCTTGTACTGTTAGAAACAAAATATAAAGTAGGACGAAAGCAGGATTTTATGAGTTATTCTTCTTAAATGAATAAAAGCTAGGATCTTATTTAACTTTTAGTATACTTTTGTAGAAAGATGTAAGGTAATGTGAGTATACCATTTACATTTTTCCAAAACAAACACAAACAGTAGTAAGTTGTCTGCTCAGACCTCGACAAGCCTGTCTGCTGTCTTTGGCTCAGCTGTGGCTGCTGCTCCAGAAGCTTCGCCAGAGCCGTCTCCAGGACGGAACGAGCACCCACTCCCCACTTCGGACCCTGCAGTTTCAGCGCTCACTGACATACCTTTTAGAAACGTCTCTGTATATTGCAGCAGTCTTTGTTGTTCTAAACTGCAATAGTCCCCTTGCTATTTAAGGCGAGTTTCAAGCAAATACCCTTGAGATGTTGAACAGTAATCCCCCAAAAGTATTCACGCTGCCTCATAACATCTTTTGTTAGTTAACACACCATTAGCTACTGCTCAAATTTAAAAAAGGAAACAAAAAAATAGCATAAACACATCAGATTTTCTGGAGCCCTTCAAAAGGGCCAAACTGAACTTCAGAAAAAAATTAAAAACATTTCACATGCACTTTGACAGCAGAGGAATGTAGTTCGTGGACGCTGGAGCCCTTCAGAGTAATTAGCATTATTAACAATACCCTTTATACAAAAATAAAGTACACTGGTGCCATTCCAAGAGCCAAACAATGGAAACAAATTATTTTCCTAAATATAGCTCATGCCATCACAGTCATTACATGAGCTCTCAGCCTCCCTTGTTGAGTGTATATATAAGGCTAGCAAAGGCCTGCAGATATACAGGCCAAGATACCTTTGGTATAATCACGGCATGAAGCTCTCCGTGCCTTAAACAGTGCCAGGCTGACACTGTAGCACAGATGTCAGCTAAGGCTTAATTCTGGAGAAAAACAAAACACTTCAGATGTTCCAAAGGTGCATCTGGAAGGTACAGTGAGAACCGCAACTGGCTTTTGTCTGAGACTGCGACAGCCGTTTGTTACCAGAGTTCACAAGCTGGTGATCTCAGCTCAGTTGTAAATAGCAGCAATTGCACCAAAATGATTTCCACACTTTCTTGCACATCTGGCAAAGCCATTATGTTTCCACAATACACACTGTTAGCTTCTCTTGAGACTGTTGTATAGAAGAAGAAAACACAGCGGATATTTTTGCAATTACCTTTTTCAGAAATTTAAAGTTGGCTAGAAATGGAAATGAGTACTTGTCTATATATACACACTAAAAAATTAATTTAAAAACTGCATTCAAAATTCTCTTTGTTGATGATAATCACTGATAGCTTTATTTTAATGACTCTGCAATGCTCCTCATTCTCTTTGCTCTCTACTCGTGTATCAATGAGAAATGAGAGCTGTTCTCTCTACTGAATAGATGTATTTGTTAGTGCACGCTCATGGCTTTTTAACTGCTTTAAAGTCATCAGCATTTTTAGGTTTAAAAAAATGAGATGCTATGATTCATAAAGCAGGTAAGGCAAGGTTAGAAACGAGACATTCTTAAAGTTTTTAAAGACATTCAGTTTGTGCAATGATTAATTTGCTTCTGCAGCCTATCATAAGCCCCGGAGTTCAGGATTACAGTGCTGTGCACGTTACTTGCTGAAGACTGAACATTTTCAATACCTAGATAAAAAAATAAGTCTCTCTTAGAAAGCTTTCTTACACAAGGTATTTCCTTCTAATATTACTTCAGATTTGTCTCATCTTGATAATCAGACGATCTCCAAAACCAAGGGAACTTCCCATTTCTTAACAAAAAACTAGGTATTTAGTCCAACACTGCATCAAAGTAGCAAGCTCATGTGTTGGAACTGCTGGCAAGACATCCTTGGGAATAATTCCAGGTCTTCCGAATTCATGATCCCAATTAAAACAGCCCCAGAGCAATCACCTCAACATGCAGTAAAGTCCATGCATTTTACAAAAGCTTATTTCTCTATTGTATGATGCAGGGTAATTTTAAACCTTTGCAGACCACAGTACTCTAAAGATGCTACTGCTCAGAGATTTCCTTAGATATTTATAAATCTACAACAATTAAGAGTAAGCTAAGTAGCTAATTAACAGCTTTTTTTCTCCATGCTATCTCATTTTAGAATAAAGCAGGAGAGATTATGGCAGCAGTTACTGCTGGACACTTAACTAATTCATATAGACACAGTGAAATCAGATGCCAGATCTCCTTTTGTTCACCCCAGTTTTAAGTCCTGGAAACAGACAACTTTAAGATTACTATACATGCTATAACTCAGTACTTATAAGACGAATAGAGTTAGCTGGAGCTTGGAAGTTCTCAAGACTTACCAATCCAACACTCCAGACGGGCACAGGGAGTTGTTTTCACCACATCAGGAGGGTCCACACCGACATTTAGGCACAAAACTAAGGCAACGCTAACAGTCTTCATCTGCAAAGACAGACAATAAAATGCTTACTTAGCATAGAAACAAAATCAATTTTCACTTGTGTTGAAATTTACCACTACAATAACTTCTGAAGGGTTTCAACAAAGCTTCGTTATCTGCTCTTTAACATGGACTATTTTAAGCAAGGCATGACTGATTAAGTTTTTCTTTTTTTTTTTTTTTTTTAAATAGAATGGTACTTAGATTTTACGTTACTATTTTTATTATTATTTCCACAGCCCATTCTTCTTTTATAGAGCATGGAAATGGATATCACTGGACTTCTGCTACTCATCTTAAATTAGTCATTGTCCGACTGAAATACATTATTAAAACATGAGAATATGCTATTCAGGGTCCCTAATCAATATTAGAGTATAGTATGTCCTCTCTAATATTAAAACTAAAAGCATTACAAGGGAAAAACTCCCAAGTGACCAACCAAACCATAACAAAACGTTTAGTCCATTTTTTTTGTTTTGTTTTCTTCACATGTTAGTTATCCTGGATATTCTTATTTTAGGACAAATCATCACTTGGCTCCCCTTCCCGGTTTTGCCTACAGCTGCTGCTTCAGTATCAGCTCCTTAGAACTGACATTTAGACATGCTTCTGTAGCCACAAGGGGCACCACGAACATATAAAATCCAAACTTATTGATACCTTACCTGTGACCGAAAAGCTGCATTAAACCAATGACTAAGCACTATGGCCAGTTAAAAATATTGCTTGAAAAATTATTATCTCACATCTTTATGCTCTTTTCTAAACTCCCTCATCCCAATACCTAAACCAGAGAAGGAAAACAAAAGAAGTGACATGGCTTATGGTATTTCCATCAAGTGTTCAGCACTCCCTTGCTTGTCTGAAGCAAGGCCACCCACATCTCCACTTCCCCAGGGTGCTCATTACAATTCAGAACAGCAGGAGAAAAAAAAAAAAAAAAATCCAAACCCCACACTTACAGAAAAAGCTAGAGCAACACAAACATATAAAGAAACTAGAAACTGGAGCAGAGAGACACTATTCACACCAAGAAGCGGGGACAGGCTCTACAGCAGGACAGAAGTTCTGCAGTGTCCGCTCACTCCCATGTCTATGATGGGGAACCCAGAGTAAAAAATTAGCAAGAAATCTGGTTAATGGCTTCATCCCCAACTATGTTCTTGCTAACAAAGCCCTGCAACCATGTAGGAGTTGCTCATCCCCATGAGTTAACAAGGAAGAAGCGGCACTTTCCAGAATACGGGTGAAAACAGGAGTCTGAATGGGGATTCCCTCACTGGCATTTCACAAGGGTTCCCAAAGGAGTGCATATAGATCGGGTGAGAATGTCCACAGCCGAAGTTTAACACTAAGTACACATGCACTAAGAGTACTTTATCAAAATTAAGAACAATACATAGTAGAAGTATAGTTACTGGCAAAATGAGGATCAGCTGCAGGACGCAGCTTGGTCCTCCAACGCCGAGAGCGGTCAGGTAGCCCTGAGGCCACACCACCAAGACTCGTCCGCCCGCAACCAAACCCGGGGGCTCCCATGGAGAGCCGACGTCTGTGCTGACAACCCACCCGATCCATTCCTCTCCCCCTGGAAGTCTTTTCCATCCTCCTCCCCCTCTTTCTGCTTCTCTCACCTGCCACTTTCACCTCTCTTTTCCCCTCACTTTCCTTCACTTATTTTATCAACACCAAACTGCTACCCTTAAAAATAAATTGTGCCAGCAATTGTTGATACTTTTCACGTTGCTCACACACATCTTACCCTTCCCTCTCATTTTTTGCTTTGTTTAGAAAATAATTTCATCTGGACACAGGGCAACTGCCGCCCTGGTTTTCCAGAACCCAGCACAAAGGTCTCACTGGTGGTTCACTACAATAACGACTCCAATAAAAACCATCCTACAACAGCTGCCACAAAAACCCAATATATTTACAGATGTAACAGGCACACATGACATTGTTCCAAGAAGTGCACCGAGTTAAAAAAAAGTTACTTCAACATCCAAGTATTGACTGATTTACCTCCCGATCCAATCCACACACGGAGAAGCCATGACCCACACAAAAGGACACAAGACTTCTTCCCCAGCTGGAGAACTGCACACTGCTACACCAGGAGTTATTTTCAGGAAATAGGTATGTTGAGGAAACGGCCTCAAATTGCACCAGGGGAGGTTCAGATTGGATTAGGACAAATTTCTTCAGGGTTGCCAAGCCTTGGAACAGGCTGCCCAGGGAGGTGGTTGAGTCACCACCCCTGGAGGTATTTAAAAGACGTGTAGATGTGGTGCGTAGGGACATAGTTTAGTGGTGGACTTGGCAGTGCTGGGTTTACAGCTGGACTCGATCTTAAGTGTCTTCTCCAACCTAAATGATTCTATGATTTTCAAGGTAACAAAATAATACCCAGCACCAGTAAAAGGAAGAATAATTCCAAAAGTTTTCAATTCATCCAGCACAAAATTTGTATGTTTTTTATGATTTTTAAAGGTGATCAGAGATGACCTGGAAGCTCCACCTTCAGTTACCAGGACATCCATTAGTGGCCTCTGTGAACAGATTAGCTCATACACGATGCAAGCTGCCGTACGCAAATAGCAAAGGATGAAAATAGTTCCCTTTAGTCTTAAAACCTAAGGGACAGATTTTTAAATGCTTTCTACGCAGTAAAACAGATGTCTGGCACCCAATACTTCAGTGCCTTATTTTTCCTCAGCAAGCGCACCTGGCTTTCTTCCTGCTCACCTATTTCATGTACAGTATTGACTACTGCACCAATGAAAACATCACGTTATTTCAATACCGCAATAAATACTTCTTACAACGTGCAATTTGAAACCTCTCTATTCCTTTTGAGAAGACAACAAAAGATAAGGAAAGAATTTAATTGAGAAAGCAACACCTTTCAAGATTATTATTCAGTGCCATCTTTTCCTGCCTTCCCTTTCCCAAAATCCATCGAATATGCTTAAAACAGTGAGAGGCATACAGTTCCTGTTGAGACTTTTCGCTGGACCCACCTGTGCCCTAGGCAAACATAAGAAATTAATCACGTTTAACAAAAGATCTTAAATAGGTAACCCTTTACTATTTCAAGCAGCATGGAAGTGTTATGTACCAACTACGCACATTTGTTGAGAATATTAGTGCTTAGCAGTACAATCTGGGAGAAGGAAAAAAAAGAAAAAAAAAACAACACAAAAAATCCTACACACAACCGCAAAACATCTGACCATTACAGAACTACTTGCATTGACTGAGCTTTAACCTGCACACAAGGACAGCTCTTCAGTATGCTACGTCCACTGCCAGTTCACACAGCCTCAGAAGGAACATGGTGCTGCAGGGTGTTAAAGAGCCCAAACACCCCTAGAAGTAATCACATGCTGGCAAACAGGCACTAAAAACCCAGAAGGAAACAAAGAAAACTACAGGACAAAATAACTTATTAGAAGTGAAACCATAGAAATCATTCTTTCAAGAGAAAGCATCCTGCCAAACAATCTTTTCTGTCTCATTTATTTATTGTTTCCCATTTGCGGTCTAATACTTATTTTTCAGTATTTTACTAGTAATGTCTGATCTGTGACTTACGCTGAACAGGCTGATATTTATTTTCTATTCCCAAGTTCTGTGTTTTAAATAAGCATTTCTCCTTGAAAACAGACAGCAAACCAGTAATGAAAAGTAACAGTCTAACCGATCGCAAAGACAAATGGGGTTATTTCCCCTCTGCCTACCTCCCCACAAAGGACGTAAAGTATTATACTTCACAACTATTTGTTCTGCTAATAAAGAGCACATCTTCAGTAAGAATTACAGTGCTCTCATACTCCCCTCTGACTCCTACTCAACATCCATCTATGATGTTGAATCGTTACAGATCAAAAGAAAACCTGAGCCCAAGAAACCGAATAATGCTTTTCACATTTCTAAACTGTTTTGGAACGTACTACCAGAAACTTCATAGCATATATATTAAAGCTTCTTAATACAAGAAGTACTAGGACATTCTCATCTGTCATTAAGACAGCAGAAATTTTCTTTTCTACGTTTCAAGAATATATCCACCAGAATACATTTTAATGGATTTTTGTTAGAATTAAGAAATGAAGCATAAGAGTATTTGGCAAACTTCTAGGAAAACCCATATCCAAAATGCTTTCTCAGCAAAAGCTCAAGATCAAAACCATAGAAGCTCTTACTGTGGACTCTTCCCTATATAGTGTAATTTGTGTGTAAAAAATAAAATAAATAAATTGGATACAAAGTTGTGAATTGTATTGCATTCAATTTAAAATTATTTAATAACTCTGGGTCAGAACCTGCAATACTTAAATTGCAAAATCCACTCGGGCAAAAAGCTCTTCTTGAGAAGTAACGGTATTGAATTCCAACCCCAAATCCATCAGAAATGGGAGTAAGTGAACAGAGGTAGTTCTGTGTCTATTCAAAAGAGAAGGTGCTTATTAAAGCACTTGACATTAAAATTTACACGTTATACTAAAGATCAGATAACTTGTAAAATATTTTTAATTCGCCTCTTACTTCATTTTAGGACAAAACAGATTTTCAGACGAGGGAGAGTAACATCACCCATCGGTATCTCAAACCAAAATTAGTGCAATTTCTGCAGTTATTTTCAGCTGGAAAAAAATATTACATTATCTTCCTACGAATTTTTTGATTGAAAACCTGAAGTTTTAGCATCACAGGGAGCCCAATTCATCCCATTGTAGCATACCTGAAAGTAATTCCAGTCCAGACTGAAAGTGAGACACCCCATTTCATCAGTTGCTAAAGATTTTTATAGGCTAAGTAAGAACAGGGTTAGCAACTAAGAAGAGAGTCATATAACTGTTTTATCTTCTAGTTCAAGTAATACCAAGAACAAACCAGTCAATCAATTTATGAGAAATTTTGCATTTTGTGCTAAGACCCTCACCTAACATTTCAGAATGAACATTTTAAAACCCATAAATACCTTATTTCTACACTG